GAGGAGGAGGAGGAGGAGGAGGTTTGATAATCGAGGATCGAGGAGAACTAAGGAGGAGGCTGGGAGAAAAGGATCGAGGGGCAGCGGCTGCAGTCGGGCGGCCCGCCGCGCCGAGGCATCGGCCGCCTCCCCGGCGAGTCTGGTGGCGCCAACCGCCGCCGCCGCCGCGCCGTTCCAGAGGCCCCGTGCCTCCCCCTTGAGCAGGAGGAGGAGGAGGAGGAGGAGGAGGAGAAGGAGGCGGAAGAGGTTGGAGCATCAGGAGACGGAGGGCGAAGGTGGAGGGCCGAGGAGTACAGAGGAGGACAGGGGAGGACAGGAGGAGGAGGAGGAAAAAGAGGAGGAGCAGGGGGAGAAGGAGGCGGAGGAGTAGGAATAGGAGTGAGAGGAGTTTGTAGGAGGACGAGGAGGAGGACCGAGGAGGAGGAGGAGGAGGAGGAGGAGGAGGAGGAGGAGGATCGAAGAGAGGATGTGGATACCGTAGCCAAGGCCATGAGATCTTCCAGATAACATGGCCTCCACGTCCCTTGGCCCCACCGGCCCCTCGTCCGCGCACATGTCTCGGGACGCGATGCGCACCCCACCCCCGTTTTAATGCCCGCCCTCTTTGGCGCACTCCATCCTCGAGGAGGAAAATCGTGGAGGAGTGGGTTGTGGAGGAGGAGGAGGACCGAGGAGTGGGATCGAGAAGGGGGAGGAGGAGGAAGAGAAAACGAGGAGGAGTAGGAGGAACATGGGGAGTAGGAGGGGAGGAGAAAGAGGAGAAGGAGGAGGAGGAGGAGGAGGAGGAACTGGAGGAGGAGGAGGAGGAGGAGGAGGAGGAGGATCGATGAGGAGTTTCTGGATCGTCCCCATCCCATTGGAAGGGCGGTCATCGACGCGCCTGCCTGGCAGGTGGGCAACGATCCCAGACCCTTCTCGGTCATGTGAGCACACATCACAACCTTTGTCTTCAACAAAAATGTATACGTACACGTATTTGTTTACGTATAGAGTGTAGTATAATATAATATAAACAAATACGCCCCCCAGGGGGTCCCACACCTCCCCGTGACATCTGCGTAATGCTCCTGGTGCTGCGCTTCCTGGCCTCCTGGGGAGCCCACAAAGCACTCAAGGACAGCCCAAGACGACCCCAAGGGCCGCGGCGGAGGCCGTCACCCGGGGGGTCGCCGCCGCCCAAAGGGCTGCTGGCGCCCTGCGGGGCCGGTGCCACGAGCTCCCTCCTCCTGCTCCTCCTCATCCTCCTCCTCCCCGCGCGCGCGGGCGATGGCGGCGAGGGAGCACCCGAAAGAGCGCAGGCCTTCGAGGCCCACCTCCGGGCCCTCACCGCGGCCTTGGACCTGCAGGCCAGCCTGGTGCGCAGCGTCCTCGACCTGCACCCGGCCTCCCCGTTCGTCGACTTCAAGGGCCTGGCCAACGAGGCGGTCACGAAGTTCAGCGAGGCGATCGGCGACTTTCGGTCCCACCTGATCGCTGTGGCCGCCAAGCCCGCGGACGACGGGAGCCTCCAAAAGTGGCCGTTGCCGAGGCGGTGCTGGACGTCGCACCTCCAGACGCAGCACCCACGGGTTCGACCACGATGGCTGCAGCAACGACTGCGTCGGCTGACCCAGAGCCGAGGCGTCCCAGCCACGGCAGCCGCAGGAGCAGCGCGATGCAGTCCAAGGGCTTCTCGCACAGCATGCTATCCAGGGAGGAGGCCGAGCAAATCGCTGTCCACGGCTCGGCGGGCTCGCGGTCGCGGAGCCAGTCGCAGGGGTCAGATGCTGTCGTGCGGGTGGAGAACGATTTCCCTTTGGGTGACCTGGACACGAGCTTCACCGATGCGAGGAACCAGGGGGAATCCTCGTGTTGCATCGACGGCGTGATACACCCAGATTCGCCCCCGCGGCTCGCATGGGACCTGGTGATCATCGTGCTTGTCCTGTGCGACAGCGTGGTGATACCCTTCCAGCTGGCCGAGTTCAGCACAGAACTGGGGTTCGAGAATGTCTGGCTATGGCTATTGGTATGTATCTTCGTTTGCGATTTGGTGACGAATTTCTTCACCAGGTACCCCGATTATCACAAACAAAGCCAGCATCGCATCTCACTACATTCGCGGATGGTTCTGGATGTATTGGTTACGCAGTGTGCCATGGTTTGTTTGCGTTGATGCCATGTGGTCGGATGGTAAGTCGGACACGTCTTCGGCGGGCCAAGTGACGAAGCTCGCTAAGATTGTCAAGTTGACGCGACTTCTGAGGCTGGTGAGGATGCTACGGCTCGTCAAGCTGTCGGTCATCTGGGAGCGCCTCGAAGGCCAGATCGGGTCCATCACTGCCTTGAACATGGTTGTGTTGGTCAAGGCCCTTGCCATCTGGACCGTGATCTGCCACTGGGGCGCGTGCGCTTGGTGGATGTTTGGCACGAGGAACAGTTTTGGTGGTGCTCCTCACGTTCCAGGACGACGATCCAGATGCCCTCCACTGGACGGAGTTGCCGCGCGTGCACAGCTCGCGCGACGATATGCAGTGGAAGTGGGTAGAGAGGCCCGCGTCGGAGCAGTACGTGTTCTGTTTCTACTGGATCTAAGGAGTGATGCGCACCATGCCGGCAGAAGTCACGCCAGTCAAGTTGTCAGAGAGGATGTTCGTCCTTCTCTTCATGTTCTTCGCCGTAATGGCATTGGCTATCAATGTCGCCCGCATTACACATGCTTGGTTCAAATTCAGCGCCCGCAGAGACGCGTTCAAGGAGGATATGGCGTACGTCCGCATGCACCTACGAACCACCGACTGCGGGAGCACGTTGCAGAAGCGCTCACAAGCATATGATGCAGAAGCGCTCACAATCACTGAGAGGCACAACGACGCGGAGGCCGCGTCCGTGCGCATGAGGGGTGGCATACAGGTCTACAACCTGCGGGACCACCCCCAGCTGGACCGCGGCCGAAGCGGCCTCAGCGACGGCAGCCTCGTGAGCTTGGCGTCGATCCTCAGTCACCTGCAGCTGTCGACTCGAAGGAGGAGCCACCTGACGGTCCTGGACGACCACTGCCTGTTCGATCTGGGGTACACGGCGTTGAGCAAGAATACCGTGGTGGCGCTCGAGTGCTCGGAGGTACTGCGCACAGACCGGCAAAGGTTCCATGATGTGCTGCGTGAGCTCGCAGATGATCAGACGCAGCTGATGCAAATGTCCGGTGGCTCCAAGCGAAGCAGCGAGAACGGTGTTCACGCGCAGCAGGGCAGGGGCACCGACCGTGTAGTGAGGCGCTCGTCCATTCTGCAATCCTTCGTGGCTGGCCAGGTGTCTGTCTAACAGGGCGCAGGGTCGAGCATCAAGACTGTTTTGTTGACTCCACATACTCTTCGCTCGCGACCCCCATGGCACTCGGCACGGTTGACGGTTGCGTTTCAATTGGCAATATTTGTCCACCTTCATTGCGCAGCCAGGAGATGATTATTCCCCAAGATGAGCTTGAATTGAGGGAGTCCGAGCGTAAAATTCTAGAGTAGAAGACAAAACGACCCCGAGAAGCCCCCAGAACGTAAAGAACAGCCCAAGACGCTCCCAAGCAACCCAAGATAGCCTTCGGGCGGCTCTCCAGGCTCCCAGGAGGCCTCCAAGAGACCTCAAGAGAGCTCCGAGAGGCGTCCTGAGAGCGCCCGGAGAACCTCTAAAATCGTTAATTTGCATGTGTTTTTAGGTTTTCGGCATTCTCACCATTTCATGCTTCCAACGCTCCAAGACGGCCGAAGACGGCTCCAAGACCGCCTAAGAGGCTCCCAAGACGGGCCAAGAAGGCCCCAAGACTGCCGAAGAGGCGCCCAGGACAGCTCCACCCCAGAACAGGCTCAAGATATGCCCAAGAGCGGGAGCATGAGGCCTCCAGAGATATCTCCGAGAGGACTCTGGGAGCCCCAAGAGGCCCCCCAACACACCCCAGACCCTTAAGGGGCCCCCAAAAAGCCCCGACGAGGCCCCCAAAACAGCCCAAGAGAGCTTCGAGAGCCGTCCCGAGAGAGCCCGAAGAGGGTAAAATCATCAATTTCCAGTTGTTTTTGTCGACGCTACTCGCCTTCTCACGTTTTCCCGCTTCCAACGCTCAAAGACCGAGGAACTTATAACAAAGGAATTCCAGAGATCCCTTCTAATTTCCCCTCTCAAGTGTAACAAATACGCCCCTCTTTCCCGGGGGTCCCACACCTCCCCGGAACATCTGCGGAACGCTCCCAGTACCGCACGTTCTGGCCCCAGGGGGCCCCCACAATGCCCAAGGACAGCCCAAGACGACCCCAAGAAGCCCCCAGAATGTAACAGAACGGCCCAAGACGCCCCCAAGCAACCCAAGATAGCTTTCGATCGGCTCTCCAGGCTCCCAGGATGCCTCCAAGAGACCTCAAAGACCGAGGAACTTGAAAAAACAGAGATTCAAGATATTCCCTTTTTTCAAGTTGGATCTCCTAATCCCTATCCTCTTCTTCGAGCCCCATCAAGACTTCAGGGTCACATGCAAGGATGTTTCGGGAATGCGATTGAGCTCTCTGACGCTGTCTTTGCACTTTCTTGGATCGTCTTCGTGTCCTCTCGGCTGCCCCTGAAACCACCGTAGAAATCGAGATCCCATGATCCCATGAGTTGAAAAATGAAGAAATGCAATTCTTTGTTCTTCGAACTCACCCCTTGCTTATTTTCGCACAAAGACCACGAGATGCATCCCAACAGACCGTGGTCTGCATCCAGAAAGCTTATAGCCCACAACCCAGGCGCGGCAACTTGAAATAATAGGGAATTCAGTATTTCCTGTTTTTCAAGTTCGCCCCCCTGTCTACTCTTGCAGAACAGACCACAAGTAAAGCCCCCCTCAGCTCCCAGAAGAGAACCCGGAAAGCCTTTGAGGGCCCCAAATCGTTGAATACCGAACGGGAAGTAATGATTTCTGCGTTTCCGCACTTCCCCTTCTATACGATTCCGAGGCTTGCACAGGGCCCCCAAGAGAGTCCCTGGATGCAAGAAACGACAAACATGAGTGCCCATGAGCTAGCCCATCAAGCCTAGCTAGAACTTGAGCGCGCGCGAAGCGCGCGCGAAGGCTATACAAACCCAGGCATGAGCATGTACTTACAGCTTGTGTGTACTCAAATGTAGATGTGTTTGCATAGCATACACATGTTGTAGATCGGACATGCACGTGCGTATAGACATGTACTCACAATGCCAGAGTGTTGGCCTCCCGGGCCCTCCCCGGTACACAATGACAAATGCCCCCCCCCCTGCCCGGAAATTTGATTCAGTCCCTATGGTCCGGGGCCCGTTTTCAGACTTTTCGGGGGAGACGTTCAATCCCTAGATGGGTGAAGACGGCCGTGATCGGCAACAAGTTGGGGCCAAGAGACGAGGAAGACAGCCAATATTCATTCCAGGTGGCACAGAATTGCACCAGACGCTTCCACGACAGCCCAATCAGCTCCAAGAGGGCTCCAAGATGCCCTCCAAGAGGGCACCGTTTTTTAGCCGTCGCCATTTTGGCTCAAGTTGCGGATCAGGCCGGTCAGGGCCAAGCCCCTCTTCTCTCCGCCTAGGGCGGGGAAAGGGGGGGGGCCCGAGGTCGCCCCCGAGCACGAGCCTCGGGACGGCGTTCTCCCCCCCTGGCCGGGCGCTGCCCGCAGGCCCCGCCGGCCGCCCCGCGGGGGGCGCCCAGCAAGGGGCCCTCGCATGGCCGAGCTGGCGCCCCGTGCGGCGCTCGGGCGCGATGCCGGCACGAGCCACGACGAGATGATCAAGCTGGTGTGCCGGTTGCTGCGCATGTCGCACTGGTGGCTGCTCCTGGGCGGCATGTACCATGTGCTCCTGTGCCTGAACCTGCCTGCGGCGGACCTGTACACGGCCCTCGCCAAGCTCGTCTTCAACGTCCTGGTGCAGCTGGCGACCGCGTACGCGACGGTGCGGGGGAAGTCGTGGGTCTTCGAGCTGCAGGCCATACAGAGCATTGCCTCCGCCTCCCAGTGTGTGCTCGCGCTGTGCATGCTTGCGGGGCGGGAGGAGTGGACAGTGCGCGAAATTGCAGTGATGATGTTCACACGCCCGCTGCTCTCGTTCGGAATAATGTGCGGACATTCTGCTTTAGCCGTCGTCGATAGTGCAGAGCCACATTGGGTATTGGTCGTCAGTTGCACGGCCTTCAACGCTGCTGTGGCGTGGAAAGTTATTTTTTCTATGACGACCTTTGAGGGGGTGATCCTCTCTGCCTCTATGTCGTATGTACAATTGTTTGTCGGGGCCGCTCTCAAGACCACCAGTAACGCCCTGCACACGGAGCGCGATGTGCTGAAGCTGGTAAGAGACGGCCTGCAGCAGCATGTCGACTCGCAGGACTCAATGTGGAAGTCCGTGTTCGACGCTACCTTGCTCTGTGACTCCACCAGTGCCGTTGTCAACGCCTCTGCCCAGGCCGTGGACCTGCTCCAGTTCGAGACAGCGGATGCAGTGGTGGGCCAGGCCTTCAGCGGTCTGGCCGCCCCTGGAGAGCAGAGCCGCATCTCCAGATTTTTGCAGGAGGTCGTCTCGAGCACGTCAAGCCAGGCGATGACAATACAAAGCATCTTCTTGCAGAAAGGCCAGGCCATCGTCGAGCTCAAGATCAACGCGGTCAGGGTCGTGCAGAGCATCTACGACTCCTCCTCGGAGAGCTCGTTCGGGATCCTCGTCGGGGCACGCCTGGTCGAGGCGCCGAGAGAGGAGACAAGCCCGGCCAGACCCCCCGAGGACACGCCTGCGCAGATGGGCGCGGCAGACTCCGAGGATATGTGGATCGCTTTCGACGCGGGCACCGAAAACTTCGCCATCAGCGAGTGCAGCCCCGGCATCTTCTCTGAGTGCGAGCAGCACGGACTCCTGAGCTGGACCTCGCATATGGCGCGACACGGCCTGGAGACCTGGGTAGTGGACGAAGTGGCAGCTTGTGGTCAGCTCGGGAGCACGTCCTCCACGGTCATCGAGCAGTTCCACCTGAAGATTCCCGCAGCGCCGGCGAGGTCGAGATCGGCAGAGAAGGCCTGGCTGAAATTTTGCCCACAGCGCTTGACGAGGACGATGAGCTGTCGCTGCCGGCCGTTCTTTGGCTGCGCGGTGTGTCAAGCCAGCAGTGGCGGCGCTCGAGCGATGGCGGGAAGCAGGCCAGGCGCCCCATGCGGCCCATGTGGGTCAAGCAGCAGCTGACCAGCATCCTGGAGGACGGCGACCCGGGTGCGCTCGGGGAGCTGGCGGAGCAGCAGTCCGTGGCCAGCAGCGACGAGATCACGCCGTCGAACAGCGTCTCCGAGCTGGGCTTCAAGTTCCGCATCCGGCAGCGCAGCGTGGACAGTGCGCAGCGCAGCGTGGGCAGTGCCGAGGGCGCGCTGGTTGAGCAGCAGCTCGTTGCCAGCAGCGACGAGCTCAGCAGCGACGAGCTCGCGCCGTCGGACAGCCCCTCCGAGCAGGGCCTCCAGCTCCGCACCCAGCACCTGGGCAAGTGCGGCGCCGAGGACGCGCTCGGGGCGCTGGCCGAGCAGCAGCCCGCGGCCGGCGGCGTCGAGCCCACGCCGTCGGACAGCGCCTCGGACGTGACCTTCGAGCCGAGTGGCGGCCGCCTCCGGCGGCGAGGCTGAGGCTGGCGGCCGCGGCTGCGGCCTGCGCTGCGCCCGCGGCGCCCAGGGCCCACGATGGACGCTCGAGGTCCGAGGCACCTTTTTCGCCGACGGGGAGATGGTCTCGGAAGGGCCACCCACGCCAGCACGTCGCCTGCGCAGGAGCGTGATATCAGATCCGCCGAGGCCCGAGGCACCTTCTTCGCCGACCGGGAGATGGTCTCGGAAAGGCCACGCCAGCACGTCGCCCGCGCAGGGGCCTGCTCACCACATGTGTGCTGTCGTCGCGCTTGTTGTGTAGCCGCGTCGCAGGTTTTTTTCGCCCAGGTGGGCCAGCCCTTGGCGAGTTTGCTTGGTGCTTACGCTGCCACAAGTGGGGCCAGCGATGCTGCTTCGACGGGAACTTGCTTCCAGCTGCACTTTCGGCATGATTCGAAGTCTGATTAACCGTTGTCCCCAAGTGACGCAGTCAAGAAAGCATAATTACCCATGCGGGTGGGGGCGCTCCTAGATAATCTCGCCAGAGGCAAACCACTCGAGCGCCAATCCAGTAGCGGCATGACAGAAGAAGCCGACCTGCTGGCAGGTGCCCCGCGTAGATCTCTCCTCATGGCTTGTTGGCCTCGGGGGCCCACAGAGAAGCTTTGGGGCATCCTGGGAAGTTAGTATGTCGACGACAGCGGGCCCTTCCGTATGTCTCTCCTGGCGAGATTGCTCCTCGCATGCGCATGCTGTGTGTGTGCGTGTGCACTTTCCCCTCGGCTCGCTGGGAGGCGCCTTCGCCCAGGGCACCCGCAGGCGCGCGACGACGCCTGTGCATCGCACTTCGCGGCCCAGTCTTATGATGTTCCAACCTACTTCAGCCTGCATGACCAGACAGAACCTCGAGCACCAAGAGGAGCATTTTTCTGACTCAGCTCTCGAAGTCCCGGCTCAACTGTCCCACTTAATTGACCTGTTTGGCGTTGCCACGCAGAAGCTCCAACGCCCAGTGATCCAGCGCGCGCGTGCGCCAGCAGGGGGCCGCCGTCCCCTTGGCCACTATCCATTTGCGTTCCGCCTGCACAGTGAGGCGAGTAAGGATGAGCTTCGTAGTCGGGAGGGTCGGGGGGGGGGGGGCGAGTGTTCATGCGCCCGGCGCCGCAGACCCACAGGCGCGGCCCGGGGGCAGGCTGCGCTTGCAGCGGGAGCTAGCCACAACAAGTCTCACGCAGTTCTATGAGCGCGTTCCCTATTGCTTTCTGTTCCAAAATGCCAGCGCATTTAGCCGCCCTACTGCCAGCCTGCTTGCCAGTATTATACGTTACATTTGGGCTAGGCACATTCTGCATGATGGGGCCCTGCGCGAGGGGGTGCACCCCAGAAGAGGCATTGCGGCAGGATCGGCGGAAAAAAGAGGGCACCGTTTTTAGCGTTCTCATCTTTCGGGCTTCCGACAGTCCAAGACGGCCCAAGATGCCTCCAAGATCGACGCAAGTCGGCCCAAGACGCCCCCAAGAGGGGCGTCAGACGGCTCAAGAGGAGCCCAGTAAGAGGGACCCAAGAGGACCCCAAGGGCGGGAATTCGAATTTGCATTTCGCGCTCTCCGCCCCAAGGTGGCCCCCGAGACCGTCAGCAGGCCCCCAGGGGGCCCACCAGAAGCCCCAGGAGGCCGATAGTTCCCCAAATCAGGACCCAGGAGACCTCCCAGAGGCCCAGGGAGGCCCCAAGACACTCCGAACATCGCCTCCAAGAGGCTCCCGAGCGGCTTTCCAAGGGATCCCCCCACAGGCATTCAAGCGGCCTCAGGCCTACAATCGAATTAGGCGCGGACGCGGGGCCTTGCGGAGTACAGTGCCTTCGTTGCGCAGCTTGCGCTTTGCAAGCGAGAATGTCGCTCTGCACGCGCTCTGCCAATTTGTATAACGAGCGCCGTGGGTGCGAATACACAGGCTGGCCGTTCCCGACAGGACTGCCTGGGCGCAGACCGCAGGAGGGGTGACGCTTATCCACGTGGCCGAGTGCATGTACAAATGGCAGATTGTTTGCGCGAGCGACGGAGCAAGAACCAAAAAGCCAATACAAGTGTCCTGTCGTCTTGATCTGGTGTGCCCGTCAACAACCTTCTGTGACCATGCTGTTTTGCATGATCGCAGTGCACTGCTGCATTGCGTGCTAGCTGCTATTTACCAGTGGCACGTCACATTGGTTTATGGAGAAGCGCTCTCGCGACACGGTCAGTAGCGCACACAAGCATATGGTTCCTTATTTGCTGCCAGGAGTCCCGTAGTTAATTGCAGCAGGTCCTTTTACTATCCGCGAGGGAGCTCCCGAATCGCCCCTGCACTCCTCACTGGCAACGTGCGATGCGAGTTCATCAGGCACGGCTAGAACCCAAGCGCGCGCGAAGCGCGCGCGTGGTTCTAGTTTCCTATCACACTGTCTTCTGTGATTGGTGTCCTCCGTACGTACCCGCCTCGTCCACCGCCCATCGCCATCTTGCCGGAAGACTCAGCCTCCTGCATCCCCCACGCGTTGTCATCCCTTCCTTGCCCTCCCTCCCTGACCTCCGACGTCGCGGTTTGTTCACGGCATGGGCTCCTGGAGTCCCTCCTGACGCCTTCAGGTATAGGCCCTCCTACTACAATCGAATCTCCAGACCGATCCCGAAACACGTTCTCACCAGGATCTCGGGGCAAATCCCTCCGTGGCGACAAGAGGGCCCCTGGGAGAGGGGATGCCTTGGGCTTCAGTACGTCACGCCCTCAGTAACCTCGAGCGCCGTAGATGTCATCGCGCTTGGGCTCAGGGGCAGAGCTCAGCATGTGACGCTCAATGTCGGCTCCCCTGGCCACAATCCAGGGTCGATTGCGATCCGATTCGATATCGACGCTGTCTGCCTCGATCCGATTTGATTCCGATGTTCTGACGAGTTGACTTCGGGCGTCCAGACCAGGAGCCGGGACGCTGCGGACCAGGGCTCTGCCGGGTCTCTGGCAGCGTGCGTGCGACGCGCCGCGGCCGCGGTGCTCCTGAACGCTCCGAAACCCTGGCCCATGGGAGTCCCTGCTCACGGGGGCCCCAGGTGTGGAGGGGGAGGGGGCCCTGCCCGCCAGCGACGGGCAAACGGAAGTCGGGAACGTTCAGGAGGGTGACGATGACCGGGTGGGGATGTCGGATGTCATGGCCGTGGCAATGATATTCGGGACGATCGAAATGGATACGGAAAGAAAGGGTACGATGCCCAACAGCAGTTCTTATTAAGTTTGAACAAGACTCGTTGTCCGCGCCGCCGCGGACGTTGTTCGCTGAAGACAGAAAGCCGCCTGCCCAACAGCGGCCGTTGCCGTTTTTGGGCAACATGTTGTTGGACATTGTACCCCTTTTTTCCGTACCCATTTCGGGCGTCCAAAGATGTGTCCCCAGATGTCATGGCGCGTCTTCTTGTTTCCATGCGTCCCTTGGCCCCCCCCCCGACCGCCCACACCTACCTTGGGCCATGATTTGCGAACCCCCATTCTTGGACGCCCTTCCCCCCCCCCTCCTCGCACCCGAGAGGAAGATGGGGAGGAGGGTCGAGGATCCAGATGTTCGAGGACCGAGGATCGGGAGTCGTCGGGGGCCGAGGATCGGAACAGGAGATCGAGGGATCGGGGATTGAGGATCGAGGGTTTTCTGCAGTGGTCGTCGCTCTGGGGGCTGCGGAGAGTCGTCGCCGCGGCCGAATGCCCCTCGAAGGCCCTGGTCACAGCGCACCGCTGGAGAGGTCTGGGGGGCGGAGGAGGAGGGAGCCGCGGGCGGGCCAGTGGTTGAAAACCTCTGGAATGGAAGCCCAGCTTCTCTATTCCCAGGGTTGCTTGTTGCTCCAGTCTGGAGGCGCGTTCTCCTCACTGGGGGGGGGTGCGTTTGAGGGCTCCGGGTTAGAGATGTGGGAATGAATTCCGCGGAGATCTTGGCTCAAACTCAGTTGCACGGTTATGTTAGATTGGTCTTTTTTGGTTTCGTCGACGACGCCCTCACATCGGCAATGGCTCTAAAGGGGAACGTTACAAAGACTGTGTATGATTACTCCGGGCTTGAGAAGGACATGCGTGTCCAGGCAGAATTTGGTGGTGCATATTATGCTGCAGAAATCGTTTCAATTTCAAGAGCTAAGGCTCGATCGAAAGCTCCTGTGAAGGTCCATTTTTGCGGCTACTCCCAGGACGACGACGAATGGGTTGATGGAAGCCGTCTGCGATCGAAGGCGCTGAGAAAAGAGGTTGCGAATGAGAAGGGCCCGAAAGACGAAGTTCCGAAAGAGAATGACGCGAAGAAAAGCGCGACGAGGAAGGCACAGCGCACGGTCATTAAAGGTCCTGTGGCTTTCCTGAACAAGGCAACGGTTGTCCAAGGGTCGGTCGTGTTCGCTTCTGGGCAGCTCGGTATGGCTCCAGGCCCAGATGGCAAGGTGGCGCTCGTGGAGGGCGGGATACAGGCCGAGGCCGATCAAGCTCTGAAGAACATGGCTGCCGTGCTTGAGGAGGCTGGTACAGACCTGAAACGTTGCCTAAAGGTAAACATCTTCCTCACCGACATCGCCGATTTCGCAGCTTTTAACGAGGTGTATGTGAAGCATTTCGACGACCCAGACAACTGCCCAGCGCGGACTTGCCTTGCAGCTGCTGCACTGCCAGTGCCTGGAGCGAAGGTCGAGATCGAGTGCATTGCAGCGGGCGGTAAGTGAGCGTTCATCGGCGAATGGATGACTCGGAAGACCATTTGTTTGTTATATCGAGGTTACAGTGATGTGAACACATGACGGAGTTCTCTTGTCCTTATTGTGGCGTTGTTTGTTCAGTTCAAAGGTTCTCGTCGAAGTACTCGAAGGAAGTGTGTGTGTGTGTGTGCGTGTGTGTGTGCGTGTGTGCGTGCGTGCGTGCGTGCGTGCGTGCGTGCGTGCGTGTGTGTGTGTGTGTGTTTGTGTTTGTGTGTGTGTGTGTGTGTGTGCGTGCGTCTGTGTGTATGTGTGTTTGCCCCCTCTTCACTGAGAGTGCCTCCCAGAAATCTGCGCTTACCGATCAAACAAACAGCGATCGGAAGACGATCTCTCCTGTGCCTCCCTCTCTTCGGACGGGGCCAGGACGAGGACAAATCCTTTCCAGAGCGTTCCGGAAGACTCTCAGAGCGTTCCAGAACGCTCTGAGAAGGCCGCGGCGCCCGAGACATCCTCCAGAGCCGCCGCATCTCAGAGATTCTGGAGTTATCCTCACTCGATTTTATCCTCGTTCTGGCTTCGTCTTATCTCCGTCCTCCCACCCTGGCCCGCTCCCCTCTGGGAGCGTCCACCTGCAGGCCGTGGGCCCAGATCTCGTCTGCGTCCTCTCCGCCTCCCTGTCCCGGCTCCCCCGCGGGGGCGCGAAGACACTCGCGCCCCCGCGCGTCGCAGTCGGGGCGAGGGCGCGAGGGCGAGAAGAGCGCCGCGCGCCGCGGGGCGCGGGCCACGAAGCGGGGCGGCCCGGCGGTCCTCCTCCTTCCGCTCCTCTTCTATGGCCTTGGCATCGCTCGGACGTGTGCGTTCACATTGCTCGGCGAGGACCATCGACCAGAACGCGCACGAAACCGAAAAGTGCACAGGGAATGGACGTCCGAGCGATGGCGAGCAGCTGTGTGGCTCAAGATGTTCGGGCCGAGCCCGAGCGGCGCACGAGGCGTCGCCCCCGGATGGAAGCCGGGACCACGACGGCGCCATGCTCGTGGGCCGCTGCGCGTGGCGGGCGCACCCTCCAGGCGAGCCACTGCCCAGCCTGCCCGGCTCGCGGCTGACCAGGGAATCGCCCGCGGCCGGCATCGCCTCCGAGGGCCTGCCAGACACGGCAAGGCCTCGAGCAGTGCCGAAGCGCCCCAGCTTGCCTGTTAGGCCCACGAGAGAGTGTTCTGAGAACCTTATGCACCAAACGTTCTTCGAACATTTCTGGCTGAGACTGTCTCGTTTCAATACATGCCCCCCCCGCCATCCTCTGCAACAAATACTATGTCAAAAATCATAAGTTTTCAGGACCCCCGTGCAATTCGCCTGGCGAAAGACCCAACCATATGCAGTTGTGTGTACCGCAATGTGTGTTGTTGCAAACAATGAAGTTTTCGGGCCGTGGTCCTCTCTCCTCCTCCCCCCTCCCCCGTCTGTTATGTGGTCGCTGGGCGGGGAGGGCGGGGGCGGCGCAAAGTCAGGTGGCGCCGTTCTGACATAACACGTTATGTTTGTGTTATCCGCTCAAGTTCTTTGGCTCGAGCATGCCCGCAGGGGTTCCTGCGGCTTCGCCCGAGCCCTTCTTCCTTTGCTCACCGCGCGGCAGCAGTGCGGGCGATTCCGACAGCTCGGGCTGCTCATCGTGGGAGCTGGTCGAGCTGGAGTGCTACGACGAGGGGCAGGTGCCGGACCTGCCGGTAAGTGCGCTGCAGAGCGCCGACGAGACGGCTCGCTTCGGGTGCTGGCCGTTCGGTCTCCTGGTGTGGTCGCTCTTCTCTTTGGTGAGTGATCCTATCGTGGAGCAGGATCCAGCGGACGAGGTCCAGGGTCTCGAGCTACAGATGCCAGTGGAGCCATGGTCTCGCCGTTTCTACCGCCAGAGTGCGACCGACGGTGTGGAGGTTCAGTTGGTGCGTCGCAAGAGTGGCAACGTGTGGGCCGTCATCGGTCCGGACTTGACGTTGGGCCTGATCTGTATCACGGCGAAAACGTCCATCTTCACGGACCCAGTGGCGGGTATTCGGTGGCGGCCGATCTTTCTGCTGCCCAGAGGGACGCCTATGTCAGCCAGGCAACGGAGGGATTGAAGGCGTCGTCAGTGCCGACGTGGCCGCTGTATCGCCCCGGCAAGGGTGGTCAGCAGGCGATCGCGGTGAACGTCCTGTATGCCGTTTTCAGCTCGGGGGCTTCGTCACTCAAGACGCTGAGGTGGTCTTTGAGGAGTCCCAACCGTTTCCTGGGGGTGCTGGCCGCGTTGTTCGTATTGTACGAGCTGCTGGTGTTGCTGGGCGTGATCGAGTATATGAAGGAGGTATGGGTGTACACGATCAGCTACCTGGTCACGGCCAAGGATGCGTTCGTGGAGAGCTCGGAGGTCGTCCAGGAGTGGGCCACCTACTTGTGGGAGTGGAAGGAGTGGGCCCAGAAGCTGATGCCTCTTCAGCGTTGGTTTGCGATGTTCTTGGCCCTGATCCTTCTGACCATCTGGGCGGCTCACGAGTGGTCGGACAGTGTGGAGTATGGAGAGTCCTCGATTGGGTCATCAAGCGCTTCGAGTGTGGATGTGCCCGTCGCTGCTACTGCTTCGGTGCCTACGCCCTTGCCGCCGCCTGGCTCTCTTTCAAGCGGAGAGAGTGCCGCGCTGGCGAGCCAGCTGAACGATCTCGTGGAGTCCCAGAAGGCCATGATGGAGGAGATCAGCGAGATCAGAACCGCCGAGAGGATGAGGGAGCTACGTCGAAATGTACTCGAAGCTTCTCTGGACTCGCGGGGTCGTGCGGACGCCGAGGCCAACAAGCAGGTGATCGAGGGCATGATTGCGCGGCTGGACCAGTTCGAGGCTCGTCTGAAGGGCGAGGTGCCTGCGGAGGCGGTAGCTGGCGAACGTGGTGCTGCTATCGAGGGGGCGAGTTCTTCGGCTTCGGCGGTCGCCGTGCTCGGTTCGCCCACGAAGAGTGCACCCGCGGCGTTGATGGAGACGCCCGAGAAGCGAGCTGCCACTCCGCAGCCGGAGGCCGTCGAGCTGGCCATCAAGCGGATGCGCTTCAAGGCTCAGTTGCCGCAGCAGGTGTTCATGGAGCAGCTGGACGAGTGCAAGGAGATCGAGCCCGAGGAGTGGAACAGCCGCATGCCCGAGGGTTACCGCCAGCGGATCTCGGCCGAGGTGCTGTCAGAGATCTACTCGTCAGGCAGGGCGGCCGAGGCCTGGGCGCGGGACTTCATCAGGGACCGGGGGCTGAGCGACTGCAACGCGGCTCGGGAGATGATCGCGGCCTTCGCCGCGGTGGACACGATGTTGATGACCGATCGTCAGAGGGGGCCCCTCAACCTGGTGAGCTTCGAGCGGTTGGTGCGAAAGGGCTACGCTATTGTAAGGGCGTACCGCAACGTGAACTGCCGCGACGACTGGAGCCGCCCAAGGATGCCAAGAAGTGGAAGTCGAAGGTGGACTGGGAGGCGGCGCGTCGCTCGGGCCCCCAGCTCGCCGACGAGAGCACTATTCGGGTGATGAGCGCCGAGGAAGAGATGAAGAAGGCCATGGGTCGCGACGCGCAGCTGATGAAGGTGCGCTCCGACCTGGGCGGAGGCGCGGTGGCCCCGCCGTGAGAGTCAAGGAGCTTCAATTGGGGCTACTCGGTTTCGAGCCGGGGGGCCCTTGCAGCCGGCGTCGGGGTGCCCCTGCGCGTCGGCTTGTTTTGGCTAGTGTGTTCTTTCTGCTGCAGCTGACTCGCAGCATCGCCGTCGGCTGGCCCGCGAGCGTTTGCACGACGAATTTGGGTTTTCATGTCTCGGCGGCGGGACATCCTGTCCGAGGTGGTGCTGTTCGCTCGCCCGGAGCGCCCCGCTTCGACTTCTCGTCGGGTGCTGTCGCGCTGGAAGGAGGAGATGGAGCTGGTGGAGACGGCGAATCGTGCTCTCTTGGCCTTGCGTCAGCTCTACCGCGGGAGCCTGGGCGACAGTCTACTGGGCCTGGGCGACTGCTGGGGCCCGGGGATCGTGCCCGACAACCTGGACGGGGACCTCTCTCGGCGGGTGCTGGGGGAAGTTCGTCGCCAGTCGCCGCCTTCGACTACACCCGCACAAGGAGCCGCACTCTTGCGGCTGCGCCCTGCTGCCTCGGCGGCGGGCCATCAGTCCCAGTCCACCTTCAAACAGCGGGTGGCCGAACTTCGGAGGAGGAGTGCTGGCGGAAGTGGACGGCTGCCGGACAGGGGCGAGACGTTTCCAGCTCAATGGGATCGAGTCGCTCTACCTCCTCCCGGGGACCAGACCTGTGAGTGCGAGGTCTGTGTCGCCTCGCGTGGCACAGAAGTTGGAGGAGGAGATGTTGAGAGAGGATGGCGAGGCTTGTGTTCAGGCCTGCGAGATTCGCAACTACGTGGACCCGCATTTCCGCAAGAAGAAGGAAATGTTGCAGCTGGCCCGACGGATGGCTTTGGCGGGGATGTTGTGCCGCACCGCAGTGAAGGTGGACGAGGTCGGGCTCTTTTGCGTCGTGAAGAAGGCGGAGCTGGTGGGGAGCGAGCCCGAGGTTACCCTGAGGCTGGTGTTCGACCAGAGGCGCTCCAACATGCGGTGGCGGTCTCCCCCGCGGTGCGCCATGGGCGGTGTCAGTGCGATGTCGTTTCTGGACGTGTCCGAGGAAATGAAGGAGGATGGCGTGACCATGCGCTTCGGCACGGGCGACCTCCCCGACTTCTACTACACGCTGGAGCTGGGGGAGGAGCTGGCGCCGTACTTCGTGCTGCCCGGCGTTTCTGGAGATGCGCTGGACGCTCTGCTTCCCGAAGGTTCGTCTCTGCCTGGGAGTGGGCCCTACGTCGGGGTGAAGGTCGCTCTGATGGGCTTCTCCTGGGCGTGCTGGATGGCTCAGACGACTATGGAGGACATCTTCAATACTGGGCCCCAGTTCGGTCTTTCTTCGCTTTCAGGCGACCAACGTTTGGCCGAAGGCGGACCGCTGCCCCATCTCAGTCGGGATTTGCCTGCTGCGCACTACGAGTACATCGACGATTTCGGCATCATGGGCCTGGACTTCCCGACGCGACCTGGCCAGGAGGCTGGGATGACGGTAGAGGAGATCTGGCTCGGTGCCAAGGAGTTGGTGGTATCCGCCGGGTTCAAGGTGCACAAGGATGCTTGTGCGGCGGACGCCCGCATGATCGGTGGCGATCTTCGGGGAACTCGTCTGGCGCCGAACCAGGACAAGACGTGGTTGGCGGTCTTCGGCATACGGGAGATCCTGATCCACAAGTGGGAACTACCCGATACCGTCGCACGGATCGTCGGCATATTGTCCTGGGGCTTCCTGATCTGCCGTGGTGCTTTGAGCGTTTTCGCGGACGTGTGCGC